TATATTGTTTACTTCAAAATGAAAATCACATGACCACCTTTATGGTTGTATATATACGGTCGTTGGTACACAACTCTCTATCCGACTCTGATACACATCAACGCTGTGTTCTCTTGTGTTTAAGAACGTAAGTAACATATTTATATGATCGTTTATATATGATCTTCCTTTACCTTAGGTCGTTCTTTACATTCATCAATGTATACTAACCTTATTTAATATGACCAACTCATTTTACTTGATATAGAGTAATTGCGCATTTTCGAGAAATGAATAAAAACATAAAAAGAACGTGTGAAACATTTAAAAAATGTATAATAGTAAGAGTGTGTCCTGGCACTTTGAACAAATCAGGCAATATATAATTTCAATATTTCACAAACCGATTAGTATAACTCAGAATAACTATGATTACGTATGCATGAAAAGAACGAAGTGAGAAATGCGACATGTGGCATGTTTGAAGCAGAGAGTATAATTAGTTTAAACCTTGTATAAGTTTCTGCCGGGTGTTAGTTTTTAATTTATGAATATATACAATAAAATACGGAAACTCATAAAATGCCATGGTTAAGAGAATCCAGGGTCTTACGTTTGTAATTTCGTTTTTATGAAAATACATATTGAAAATTTCAACTGGTATTCAATTATCTAAACACAATATTCTCAACTCAATATTAAGTACATTGGCTGCAACTAATGTTTATGAATTTATCTGTATGTCAAGTGAAACTTTCTTGATTTAATTTTTTGTAGATAAACACAAAGCTACAGAATTGGCTATCTGTGATCTGCCCATCACGGGTATCGAAACCCAATTTCTAGCGTTATAATGCAATAGACATAGCGCTGAAAAATAGTATTGTACATGTTCGAATTTTAAATTTTTAGTTTTACATATGTCGGATTATTAATATTTAGAATTCCAATACAGTTAATGACGAATTAACTATGAGGTTGTTTTTAAAATGTTGCATAAAAAATATATTTAATCATAAACCGTTCATCCACTCTTTGATCTTTTACCTAATTATGTTTTTTCGAAACACTTTTAGACATTTTTCTTTTTGCGATAACAAGTTCATTTAAACTATAAGATTTCGATCCTTTTAAGTTCGAAGTTTCCAAATTTAACCAAATACTTGTATGATCTGACCACAACTAATATGATATGGTTTTATAGGTTATCATCATGAACAAGTCAGTGATTTTTCTTGTATGCCTGGTACTACTTGGAATAACACTGAACGCTGAAGCACGTTTGTACAAGCAATGCAAACTCATTAGGTGTGATCGCCGGTATTGCTATTTCAGGTGTCGATGGTTTTGTCGTGGTATTTGTGCATATGAAGGAGGAAAGAAAGAAGGTAAATTTGTTATACAGAGGAATATTCATATTACGACATAAAAAGCACAATTTAAAAATACAGGAAGATTGTCAAAGTTTCAACGACATTAAGAGCAATGAAAAAGAGCTTGCCTATAATTTTGAAGTTACATAGATGTTATTTAACTTATTTACAGGAGAAAATATGGACATGTAAAACGAATTTCAACATTTTTTATTAATTTCTTATTCAGATATTCCCAAAACTTAAGTAGAAAATTCATTTTGTCAATTTAATAATAATATATATAAGCAAATTGAAGGCCTAATTATGGATCCGCCATTTATCCACTTCTTGTGTGATCTGTTAATGAATAGGTTTGAAAATGATGCTTTACAGAAGGATAAATTTAAACCCTAATTATGGATTTGAGTATGTTTATGAAATTTTCGTGATGTGATGTCATAGTAAAGATAATTTAATAGATTTTGCTGACTACTTGAATTATGTCAAAGGAATTCACAAAAAATGTCAGTGTTTTATTGTTTACAGGATATTAAAGTTATGTTCCTATGAAGTTAAAAAGTAATTGTTACTAGTAACATTAGGTAGGGTTTTGTACCAAATATTGTTGATAGAGCCGTATGAAAACGTAGTAAAATTACAAATGATGATCATAAAAGCTAGCTAAAAATCAACATTTCCCACTCGTATAAACAGACCAAGGCCAATGAAAACGGTGTGAGTCAATCCAGGGTACATTTCAACTATTCAAAATTTAAATTATTTAACTCGGCTGCGGAATATTTCAAATTCGCAATATGTAACAATACTTACCACTTTTGTCTTTCTTGCCATGCTTCGTCTAGGTTAGAAAATGTACCGTTATATTTGTTTTTTTTTCTAATGCCTTTTTCTTATTTAAATGCCTTTTATTTCTAGAGTTAAATAGAAATTACTTAATTTGATGACTTTCTCGATTTACTTAAAAACATAAAACATTAAAAACACACAAAATGTTTTTTTATTTTTTCACTATTTTATTATAGAAGAGATTTTTGTTATTGAATGTAAGAGTATATGAGGCAAGGTTAACATTCATGAGAACAATCTATAACAGTCATTCAGAGAAATAAAATGTTTTTATTGAATATATTAGCCAGTACAACTGGTATCATCGAGACAGACTCACTTAATAAAAAATCCTCATTAACCAAAACCAAAAGAAATAAATGGCTTGTCTCTCCAATAGGGAATAAAGACAACCTGAAAAGAAAACAAACAAGAAATAGTATGAGTATAACGTTAATATACAGACAACTGTTATAAATCACTGTTAATGTAAAAAAATAAAATGCATGTGGTCAGTTGTTCGCCCACATAATTCCTGTTCCCTTAAAAAAACTTTTACAAATGTACTTCAATTTTAATATTTGGTTATTAGCAAACTTAGATTAATAGCAAGTGATGCTTTAGATATTTTCAAAATTTCATGAATTTCTTAGGAGACATTTTTGAATGGATCTTTAAAAATCAAACTTAGTTACTTAGTACAGAAATATTTCAAGATTATTTCATCGCATCACACTACTTCCAGTTTATGTGGAAAAGCTGATTTTATTTCACTTCGTTTCCTATTATTGTCAACTTTTATAACTTTTACTCATTTAATCACGGAAGATGATTATGACCTAATTGAAAATATATCACCTTCAGTATATAGTAGCCTTCTACTCATCCAAGTCAAATTCATCCGGCTTTTCTCCCTTTCGAACTTCACTTCTTCATCTATAGAATACATAATATTTCTACATTCAATATTTCGAATGTCTTTCATTGTCAACAAGTGATCTATAGTTGGTTAGCAATCAAGTTGTCGGTACAAAACGGGAATTTTGGAAAACATTCTGATAAAGTAGTACAACACGGTCAAGATATTTGGGGAACCATTTAAGTGACCAGATTATTTTAAAGGTAAACTAAAACTTAATATCAGTATTATAGTACTTAAACGTGAACCTTTTAACTACAATAAATCCTTAAATATGTTCCTTACATTCAACTTTCGACGCAAGATACTAGGATGAAATATAATATTTTAATCTGCCTATTGTATCAGGTTGATAATACAACTATAAATTCATAATACACAGTGTTAGTGTAAAATGTAATGAAAAACGATTTTTCATTGATTTTGTTTTTGTTTTTTTAAGTAGAACCTTTACTCGGCAATCATTTCAATTTTTGCAGTAACCATCCTAAGATATATACCAAACAATTCCTCATCAATAAATTGCTCAAAACCGAATTAAACGTATCACATCTAAAGATTCAATGACTGAGACATTATTCATTCATAATGTGTCTTCAAAACAATTAATATATTTATCAACTGATACTTTCTTAAATTATGATATGATATCCAAATGCACAAGCATATCATCATTATTTAGAGTTGATTTACTTATTCTTCCTAAAAATCATATAGAATTTTTGATAATATAAATGTTTTTCTTCACTATGAAAAGAAAACATTTGCGCTATAAATTTAGCTACATTGTAAGAGGATGAACTTATATTTGAAATTATGGGTCTATAAGAATCCCTATTTATGAACTTTTGACAAGGCATAAAATCTTGGAGTGACAAAACTACTTTTGACCAAATATTTTTTTTTCTTTTACGGGATTAGACTTATACACTCTTTAACTTTTTCTTTTATCAATTCGTAAAACCAACTTTTAGGAATGATGATGACAAAACCTTGTCGAAACGTTGTACATTTGCTGTTATGTTAAACTTATATTAAAGTTTTTCTTCATTACCCATTCAAGCCGTCTCCAACCATTATTAGTCTCAAAGTGGGTTCCTCGTCATCGAATTTTAGGATAGTTGTTGTTAGCCTTTTCATATATATTTTAGCTTGATCTAGCATCTTTTCAACTTTCTTAGTGCAATCCTCTTTATTTTGTATATATAATTGACCCCCATTCTCGGATTTACAGATTACAATATCCAACTCACTCAATGACTTTAAAACCTGTATGTCTTAGTTTTTCTTTTTTTTCTTAACTTGATTTTAGAATTACCTATTAACTCATTACATTCATCTTTAACACTATCTACTTTACTAATACTCTTAATATTACTTAAACATGTTTCAACTTCTGTAATAAACTCTTTTCGAAAATTATTAGCTTAAAAACAATTCCCACGCTTTTGTTAAGCACGTCATTCTCAATATCGTTTAACACAATATTCGATTTCTTAACTATTCTATTCTATTGCTTTCTATTAAATTTGTATAAGGTTCAGGTTAAGGTAACGTTGTCGTTCACCCTAATTTGCTTTAGACCGTTGGAAGAACCAATGTTGAATGTAGTCTCTTTTTATTCAGAAACTGAGGTCTGAAATCAATATGGTTAGTATATTAGAATCATGCTAGGTTTAGAAATTTTTTCATCCTCAGGAGTGAATTACAAGACAATTGCCAAAGTATTTATAGCTTGTTAGTAGGTACACAAGTGCCAAAATACTACAAGTACAATTGTGTAAGTTTGAAGACTTAATAGGAAACATGAATCTCTTAAAAAGGAAACCTAGACTATCAGAGAAAACATAATGTGAAAGTAGGACATCGTGAAAATGCACAAAACTAACATGCTAACATTTATAAGACTTTCAATGAGTGTTTGGACCCGACACCTTGAAATCAGAACTACTCGTTCTAAGATGAAGTGGGAAAACCCCCCGTAAACAAACAACTCTTTCCAGTATGCAGGTTATGAACTGAAAAGTCGTAGAACTTGTAGACTAAAATATTAAAACACGTAGCTTACATTAAGTGCTTCCAAGAAATGTTCATAACTTAGTATAAATATATCTTTTTATTAGAAAATAATTATTATAGCGTTGTGTTTTCGAACATTGTCATTAAAAAGGCCAACATTTTCTGTTTGAATTTCTAACAAATATATGATATAGTATCAGAAAAACAGCTTCAGGGAGACAGAGAGCGACATAGGTGTTAGCAATAAGTATTTCAAAATATGGCAGGTTTTCCCTTTTGGTACTTACCATACGTTTCATTTTATAACATTTTGCCTGCAGACATATAGGTAATCACTTTTATTATGAATAAATAAATAAATAGGATTCTATTATTCTTTCATTATATTTCTCTGTAAAACCCTTGTGCATATTTGTTATTTATTTTTCACACCTTTTTGTCTTTATTCAGTCGAGAATTTTAGGGTTTTTCTTATTCTAAGTAAGGAATGTACGATGTACAACTAACTATTTATATAAATTGACCACAAACAATGTTTTCATATGACCCCATAATGAAGAAGTCAGTCGCCTTTTTATGGATAAATACAAAGGATAAAATAACGAGGTTGCGAAGCTCTGTGTTGATGAAGTATCAGAGTTGTTTAGGTAAACGAGAGAAAGTAGAATAGAAAGTATGATCACACAGCATGTAGAACAGTTTTAAGTACAGGAATTTAGTAGAGAGTAGGAATCCAATTTTACATATGTTGAAATGTATAAATTAGTAATTTACGACGATTGACCACGAACAATATGATATATTTTTATAGGTCATAATAGTGAACAAGCCAGAACAACATTATATGCCCAATAATAACGAAAATTACATACAAGACCTAAGACTCGTATAGTGCAAACCCATTAGTTGTTGTTACGGTATTTGTACTGGAGTAAATGAGAATACTATAGTTTGGTTGGATATGAAGGAGGAGGAAAATGCAAAGGTATTAAATAAGCTATCTAAAGTAATGTTGTTCTTACATATACAAGAATGCTGTCAAATTCCCAATAAATGATAGCACTGAAGACTGGAGAAAGATCTTGGCCTAAAAATATATATATATAACCTAGAACACTTGGTCATTCCACGTGTTAAAATAGAGAAGAGATAATATCTATCTTAGTGGATTCATTAATGACTTATTTGTAATCATGAAAAGTTCAGTTGTATTTAGAACATATTATAAAAGATATTCTAGTTCTTACATTTTTCTGTTAGGACTGTATCATAGTTAATCTTAAGAACCCAATATTGATCTATTCTAAGATTTGCCAGTTAAAACACAAATTCTTACCTTTTTAGAACTACGCGCCCCCCAATGACACAGCGGTATGTCTGCGGATTTACAACGCTAGAATCCGGGTTTCGATACACGGGGTGGGCAGAGCACAGATAGACCATTGTGTAGCTTTGTGTTTAATTACAAACAAAAAAGCACTAGGCAGTTTCTTTTTGTGGGTTTTCTTAATATTGTAATATCTTGCTTTAAATATGATTAAAAATATATATGCAAAAAATTCCCACTCGAAAAACATTTGAACTCAAAACTTCTGCTTCAATCCAACCATTAAGCTAATTCGAACTTCACCAACACATAGAGCATTATGCTTTTATAATGCCTATAAAATAACGAAAAGCATATTTGAAACTGGCATTAGACGGAAGGATATTGCAACATTCAACTTTGTAATACTTTATAAGCCTTCAGACTTACCACTGAGCAAAAATTTAATAAAGAAATGAATGCCATTTTCAAAACAAGCAATTCAGAATGATAGGTTATAACAAAAATAATATATTCAAACAGATTATTACCAGCAAGTTGTACATTATCATTCTACTGAAACTGTGACAGTAAGAATAAGAATATTTAAAAAATACTAATTTCTTGAAAAATATTTTAAAAAAATCACTATTTGTTAGAGGGTGTTTGTACAGGATATTTGACCATTTGTAAAGGATATTAAATCTTATGTTACCTAACACGCTGAGCGACTGACGAAGGGGAATGCTGGAGTTCTGATGCCACTGAGAAGACTCGGCACTTCCAGTTGATCGCGAGTTATAAAGTTATAAAAGCTACAATTAGTCTCTTGTTATGCGGTACAATGAGCCAGACAAAACCATTCTTGTGATGGTTTTATATATTTTATATCAAAATACTTCACTAAATGAAATAGGTACAAACAAAACTATAACAAACACAAATCGAGATGTAGCTATAAAACACTGATAGTGTAAGGTAACTTGATATTTATTCATATTTTATACTGAGACAGAATCTATATCCGATAATGAATAGTAGAGCCGCAGCAACAATTGTAAACACTTTTAATGAACCATTCGGAGTTACAAATATTCTATATTTCAGTAAATCTATGAAAATAACGAATTTAACAATCTTTAACAATATAAAAATGCAATGAATAGTATTTGAAAAACAAAAGAGCTATTTGAATAAAGCAAGGGGGACGATATTTAATTCATATTGAGGCTTGGATTTTCATTCATAATATGTGGACTTTTTTATCAACAGTTCGTAATCATTACATCCATAAGGTAGAATTGAAAGGTTTTCTAAGGAAACAGGGTGTGATGACGTTTCGTTGTGAAAATATATAGGAGAGTTAGGTGGAGTTTGAAGTTTAAGTCCTGTTCTGTTAGATGTCTTGCTTATGTGTGTGGCGTTAAAATCTACCAGATGAATATTTATATACAAGTAAAGGTAAAATGTCTTTAGCAGTTTAATATAGGGTAGAAAGACTTGAGTAACTTGTTGACTTGGGTTTTAACAATAAGATATTGTTTTCCAAAGTAAGGAATATAACCACAAGGATTTCAGATTATTGAATACGGAGAAAAAAGAAAAAATATTTCTTGAATATAAATCCTCTTCTATCTTCAAAAGCATCCTATTATTAATATTCACTTCTTACCAAAGGAAGCTACCAACACAAATCATAATTAAAAATCAGCTCGATAATAATTATAGGTTAGTTAATATACTGTTCTTATTTGTAAATCTTAGAATTCATTGTTCCATCAGCTGTGTTACCTCGTAATTACCAATGTTGATATTTACAATGTAACTACTACCTAAAAATAGTTCATTGAAATGGAAACAAATGTATAAATTAACTTAT